ATTTGTTTAAACAATTTATTGTTTGACATAAATCAGAAAATTATACAAATACTATAAAATAAAGTTAATTTATTAATTTATTAATTCAGCAATTGTTTAAACAAATAATTGTTATTTACTAACTTTTTACACAATCAACCTAGAAACTAGCAGTTTTTTCTAATTTTGCAATAAGTAAATACTCAGATTAGTTAATTGCAAAATTTTAAAAGACTACAAGTGTCTAGACGCTTTATTGTCTCAAGAATTAATAAATAACAACAATTTTTTGTTTAAACAAATGCTGAATTGTTAAAATTATAAATTATCTTTATATTTCACTACTCAAGTGTAATAATTGCGAAGTTAGATAAAAAGCTGCAAATTTTTAAGTAATTTGTTACAAAAGTTAATAAAACAGCAAAATTTATTTATTTATTTAAACAGATACAGACTGCAATATAATTATCATTAGGAAAATACCCAACGGGAAGTTGCCAATGTTAACGATTGGTTCAATAATGGGCCATGCTTGGTACCCAATGGTTTTTTCTTGGCAAAACAATTGGCAACCATCATTGGACCACCAATGGTTTAAACTTGGGATGATCACGCTACTGCCAATGATCGGTAGCCAAGCATCGGGCCAATATTAGTTGCCAAGGAATTGCCAAGGAAACAAAATCGATTTTCAAAAGCTTGATTTTTTATTGGCAGCCAACAAAAAACCAAGGTTTTGAAAATTGATTTTTTTTAATTATTAATTAAAATTTATTTTTAAAAAATATATTTTTCAAAAATTTATTTTAAAAAAATATATTTTTTAAAAATATATATTTTTTTAAATTAATAGAACATATTAATTTAATTTGTCACCTCTGGTAAAACAAAGATGAAAGACTGATAAATTCCCTCACTTTATATTTTACAGTGGAGGGATGACTGTGAATGTCTTTGCGAGAGAGAAGCAGGTACTTATATAGAGCCAGTGAGAAAGGTCACAAGCGAGAAGAAATCACTAGCATGCACTCTGGCGGCGCTTGTCGGAAGTGGCGCAACGTTGGTTGCCAAGCGCTGTGTCGATAATGTCAGGATATGCATGCGCGCCAGAAAACAGTTCCGACAAGCGCCGCCAGAGTGCATGCTAGTGATTTCTTCTCGCTTGTGACCTGTTTCACTGGCTCTATATAAGTACCTGCTCCTCTCTCGCAAAGACATTCACAGTTATCCCTCCACTGTAAAATATAAAGTGAGGGAATTTATCAGTCTTTCATCTTTGTTTTACCAGAGGTGACAAATTAAATTAATATGTTCTATTAATTTAAAAAAATATATATTTTTAAAAAATATGTTTTTTTAAAATAAATTTTTGAAAAATATATTTTTTAAAAATAAATTTTAATTAATAATTAAGAAAAATCAATTTTCAAAACCTTGGTTTTTTGTTGGCTGCCAATAAAAAATCAAGCTTTTGAAAATCGATTTTGTCTCCTTGGCAATTCCTTGGCAAATAATATTGGCCCGATGCTTGGCTACCGATCATTGGCAGTAGCGTGATCATCCCAAGTTTAAACCATTGGTGGTCCAATGATGGTTGCCATTAATGTTCCAATAATGGAACGGAGTTCGCCAAGCATGGCCCATTATTGAACCAATCGTTTACTTCCCATTGGGTATATTTCTAATTTCGTTCGCTAATTTTAAGTTTCGTTTAAGTTGGTGCTAAACACTAAGAGATATTGCAATTCGAATGTGGCTTGACCCACCCAGGTCCAACCCAGGACCTACCTGGGCTTCCTAGTTTCATTAGCAAAAATTTCTAAGTCCAAGTCTAAAAAATTTTTCGCAACAAAAAATTAATGCTTAAAATGATTTAGAATAATGAAAAACGTGTTTTTAACATAAATTTTTTTGACATTTTTTTAAAAAGTGGATCACCCGCTTAATTAATTAGGGAAAATTTCTAAGTCCAAAAGACGAATATTTTTTTTAGACCAAGACATTAATGTTAAAAATGATTGAGAACAATGAAAAACCTGTTTTTAACGAAAATGTATAGATATTTTTTTTCTTGATATAATATAAAAATATTAATTTTTGAATTTTTATATTTGGACATTATTTTATTATTATTGTTGTTGTTAAACTATTTTTTTTATTTATTATCGTGTATTAGTGTCAATAATTACTATATTGAATCATCAAAAGCAAGTCCACAAGTCACTGACAATAAAAATTTTGATCTTAACTAGTTTCATTAGCATAGTGGTTAGGGCGTTAGTCTCGTAGTCCGTAGGTCGTAGGTTCGATTCCCGCGTGCGTTAGATTTTATTTACTTCTTAGGTTTGCGTTTATTCCGATTTTTCTGCATTGTATTCGTATAAGTATGCAATTTAATGATTATATATACTGTAAAATAATTTAATTAACAAATTTCTAATTTTTTTATAATTTTTAATGTATATATTAGAGGAATATATATTAATCTCTACATATACTAACATTATTTATGAATTCGCTTTTGGTCATCATTTAATTGAAAAAAATAATAATTAATTAAAACTAATAATTAATACTTAATAATTTAGGTTATTTCTTTAGCAAATATTATAAACTAATTAAAATTATAATAAAATATATAAATAAACTGGTCCTAACTAGGCTCCCAAGTTAGGACCAGGCTAGAATCGCATCACCAGCCATTGTTGGTCCAACCTACACTGCCAACCTAGGACCAAGCTATTAACAGGGCAAAATAGGTAGGACCTGGCTAGGACCAATTTTCATTTTCCACACGGGATACAGTGTAAAAGGGACTTTAATCGAATGAATAGTTTTCTCTCCAGGACTATGGAATAGTTTCGCCCCGGAAATAGTAATGCCCCACCCTACCCTATAAAAATAAACATTATTTTTGACTTCAATGAATTGAAAAGTGATTAAGTAAAAATGTTCCTAAACATAACCTATAATTTTTTCCCGCGCAAAATCCCTCTTTATCGGGAAGCGCCACATTTAAACATGAAAATATTCAGATAGAATATTATTATTTATTTAAATGACAAGTTTAAAGTACAAAAATATTTAAATAGTGAAATATAGTTAAATGAAAAAATTTTGAATACAAAAAATAATTAAATACTAAAAACGTAACATAACCTGCATTTTTTTCCCGCACGAAATCTCTTTCATCGGAAAGCGCCACATTTAAATATTGAAAAATAAATAATTTTCAATATAGAAATTTAAAAAAAATTACATTTTAAGTATAAAATAAAAATGCCAAGTAAAATAAAAATTAAAACAACAAAAGGTCAATTTTAGAAGAATTTAAAGAAAGTCACTTAGAAAATTCTTGAAAAATATTTTGTTATTATGTATATATATGTATAATATGTACAGGATTTTTTCTATCAAGATATATTTTTTTCTTTTGACAAAAAAAGAAGAAAATTTTTTCCAAGTATTGTTTTTTTTTTGGTTTTTTTTTTATAAAAGTTTGGACTCCCATTTTTACAACTTTCTCTTTTCTACAGTTAAAATTAAAATATAAAAAATAGCCTTTCGCTAAATTACGTAATTTGATAAACTAAAAATTGAATATCCTTTATTTCTTTACTATCTCAACGGTAGATCGGAGCGAAAAAAAAAGAAACCTAATTTTATATTTCTCTCTCTAAAAAAATGGAACTATTATACATTTTAATAATCGAACTATTAAAATTCTAAATTTTTCGAATTCTTAATTCCCTTTTTTTTAATTACAGAAAAACGAAGTTTCACTATCACAGGAATTTGCTGTTTGCTTTTTGAAATTCGATACAAAAATTTAATCAAAATTTTTGAAATTCCAGATTCGATAAATAGAAAAATAGTTTCTTTTTATTTAATTTTGTTTTTTTTAACTAATAAGATTTAAATTCCATTTTTTGAAACGAGAAAAATACTTGAATTACTTTTTCAAAAAAAACTATTGAGAAAACTTTTTAAGCGACAATTTCCTATGAACAGAAACGACATTCAATTTATAATAATGAAAAATTCTTTCATCTCGTCTATCGTGAGATTTTCGGGTAAATAAATATTTCTAAAATCGCCAAGCCTATGAGGTAAAAGTTATTCAAACAATCGACTCATGAACATTATTCACTAAACGCTTTTACAGTTAATTTTTTTTCATTCATTCTTGCTTTGCTTGTTTTTTTTTAATTCTAATTAAAACTAATATCTATACTATACACATGAGTTCGTATAAATATCAATTTATAAATTTGACTAAATTGCAATTAGCGCTCTCTAATGAACCTTTTTTATCCAACACTTAACAATCATATGTTTTTTGTTGTTTTTCTTTTTCTCTTTATCACGGAGAGGGGTCGTTCACAAACTACGTCACACTCCAAGGCGTGGGGGGGTCAAGCTGTGTGTGACGAAGCGTGGAAAAATTTTTTTTTGTATGTAAAAAATGTGACGAAGGGGGGGGGGGGTCAAAATTAGTCTAAAAAAGCGTGACGTGGTTTGTGAATGACCCCGAGAGAAAATATCAAAAATATCAAAAATTTCGAACCCCCCTTCTTTTTTTTTCTTAAACACTATGTGTGCTTACAAATCTCAAAATTTTTAGTGTTCTTCGAATTTTCGACAAAAAATTTATCTAATATTTGTTTAGGAGAAAAAACAAATTCTTTCGCAATTTCTAAATCGAAACTCCGATAACATTTAGTATATAGTTAATTCCTCAAAAAAAATTTTTTTATTATGCGAGTCAATTGGTCAATTGTTTTGAAAATTTCGTTCTGTTAAGAAAAAAAACTTCGGAAGTTTCAAATAACTTGTCGTAAAAAGGAAAAACGCTCGTGCTGGTGAATTTCATCGACAATGAAGACATAACCTAAAAGAAATATCGTCCGGCTGAGTCCACAATGATTTTTAGGTTAAGTAACCCAATTTTTATTTCCTATAAGTGTCTTTGAATAACCAGGCCAATTCTTTTGCGTTAATAGAGAAAAGAATTTATTATTATCGACAGGTTAGTAACGCGCGGACTTAATCTGAAAACCATAAGGTTGTGTCCACAATAAAATTAAGTTGACGAAAACAATAGAAATATGTAGTTACTAGAAAAAAAACTATTGTTTTTAACACGTTAGTAACACGACGACTTAACCTAAACATCTTTATTCTGGATTCAACCTTATAAAGGTTTTCTTGACAATAAAAGATAAACGTAAACGTTAAATATACGGAACAAAAAATTTTAAGTTCCACGCCAAAAGGTTTTATTGTGGACTAAACCTTAAGATTTTCAACTTGAGCCAACGTTACCTTTTGTTAACTATTGTGGACTCAACCTTAGAATTTTTAGGAAATCGACGCTTTACTAACAGGTTGGAAATAATAGTTTCTATCGTCTACAATGCGTTAGTAAAACGTCAACTTAACCCAACAGTTACCATTGTGAACTCAACCTTAATTAAACTTTGAAGAATAATCAAACTTTAGAACATAACCTCAAAAATGTTTTTAATTTAATTTGAATTTGATTCGATAGAAAACAATATAAATTAATAAGTCGTCAATTTCCTTTCTTTTGGTTAAAAAAACTCGTTTGTAATTTGAGGTTATGTCTACTATTTAATCTTTTCGAATCAAGAATGTTTTACGAGAAAAGAAAATTCTTTTAATATTGAAAATTCTGTTAGAAGTTATTATAATAATTATAATGGTATTTTTTTTGTATATTTACTAGTAAGTAAGTATTATTAGTAAACAATATGTATGTTTACTAGTAAATAATATATTATATTATTATATTTACTAGTAAATAACATATTTACCTATAATAATATATTTACTAGTAATAAAATATTTATTAATAATAATATATTTACAAGTATTAAAATATTTACTAGTAATAATATATTCACTAGTAAATATATTTTATTACTAGTAAATATAATATTAGTAAACAACATGTATATTTACTAGTAAATAATATATTTACTAGATTCTTACTAGTAACATATTTACTAGTATTTACCAGTAATAATATATTTACTAGTAATAAAACATTTATTAGTAATAATATATTTACTAGTAATAAAATATTTACTAGTAATAATATATTTGCTAGTAAATAATATATTCACTAGCAATAATATATTTTCCAGTAAATAGTAATAACATATTTGCTAGTAAATAATAAAAATAACTAATTTTTTTTATGTAACTACATTTTTAGGTTAAGTCACTTTTTCTTTTGCTGCTGACGAAACTTACCACAGGAGGCGCTGCCCTCTAGTTATTTGAAAACTCTACTTTTCAAGACCAACACACAGATGACTCGTATTAACTAGAAAAATTATTATTAAATTTAAATTCCTTTCGGCTAGTAAATTATACTAAATAGAGTCGTTTTTTTAGTTATTTGAAAATCAAAATTAACGAAAAGATTGTTACATTATTAGTGTAAATATTAGTTGATAGTATTTCAATTTGACATAACCTCAAAATATCAAAATTTTGCTTCACTTCTGATAGCTCTTCATTCCCTTTGTCTATATTATCACAATATTACTTATCCATATCGATTAATTGTAAATTTTAAATTTAAAGGGGTGTCAAAGTCGATGCGATTTTTCCATTGAAGCTCGTGTTTAAAAATCTTATCGTCTTTGACATTTTCTTAAATTCCGTAAACAATGAATAGATGAAATATTTTGCAAGTGCTGACAATTTTTTTTTAATACTTTGAACCAGTTAAAAGATGCATTCGATTTTGGGAAAATAAGGATTATTTTTAGGTTATGTTACTTACGTTGCTTATTCTTTCCTCGTCTTCCTCTCTTTTCCTCTTCTCGTTTCAATCTTGAACTTGGATTTTGAATTACGTCAACGGTCCGAAATTATTTAAAATCCTCCATTCGTTTGCTTAAATAATCTTTTTTATTAGCATAAAGTAGGACAACTTTATTTTTTATAATTTTTTTTTAACTTTAGGCCATCAGTAGCGTTTGAAGCGAAACTGTGAGCGTGTGGACAAACTAAAAGCGTCTCCATTAACTCAAAAAGTGGAATTTTACTCCACTTTTGTCCGCTTCGAACCCAACTTCAAGGCTCTTAATTGATTCTTAATTCGGAAGTGATCGGAATTACGATCGTAATGTCGAATCCATAATGGAAACTTTTAGGTTAAGTTGACAGTTAAATTGAAAGTTTCCATTGTGGATTCCACATTATGTTTGTAGTTCCGATCACGTTTATAGCTTCCATTGTGGACTCAACTTTAAGATTGAGTCTAAGGAATTTTAGGTTAATTTGACGCGTTAAGGCCTAAGCACAACTTCTTCGCGAACGCAAAGCGTGAGTTAGAAAAGGACAGATATATATTTGTGTTTTTTTCTATCTCATGCGTCTCGTTCGCGAACGACTTTCGCAAAGCTATTATGCGTTGTTCTTTACGAACGCATTACTAGCACGTTGGAAACAATAGTTTCTATTGTCCATACAGTGACGCGTAGAGTTTAACCTAAAAATCTTTATTGTGAACTCAATCTAATGCGTCTTCAACGGGTCAACTTAACCTAAAACTCTTCCTTGTGGACAAAGAGCAAATTAAGCTTTAGGATATGAAAGGATTAAGATCAAAGCAGATTAGGGTCCTAAAGAAAAGTGTTAATCGCAAAAATTAGTTAGAGGATGGACAATATTCCTATCCTAACTCATTCTTCCGATTGCGATAACACTTTCGTTTAAGACCCTATTCCCCATTGGCCTTTAAGAATCAATTCTGGCTTTGCGTTTTTGATAAAAATCCATTATCGACTTCAATGCAACGTTTAAATTGTTCAAAGTAGAAGAAAAAAATTCACCATGGAATTTTGAAATAGTAACTCGAATATGCAATGTTTGCTCATAGAGGTTATGAATTTAAAAGTTTGTCAGCCTTTAAGAGGAGGTTGTCAATTTAACCGGTGACGGAGTGTCATAACAGTCACAATTGTAAAAAAAATCTTTCCCGTAAAGAAAAATTCTTTTGCAAAAATTTACAACAAAAGAATTCTTAGGCTATGTCCACAATAGGCTCTCTTTATGTCCTTATGTTGAACTTAACGTTAATACAAAGAAATCTATTGTATTTTCATGTAATGTTACGCTTCACGGTCAAAGGGACCTTGGCGACAATAACATTAGGCTCAATTTTCGTGCACTGCACAACAGTGGACTGAGCCTGTTTTTGTCCCCTAAGGTCCCTTTTAGCGTGAAGCGTCATAATGATATAAAAAGAGCCTTAAGGTACAGTCCCATGTCAGTGTGAAACGATTCCATTAAATCGGAAGTTGTTATTGGCTAAACCTTTTCCGTTTTTACGCTGACATGGGATTGGTCCTTTACAAAGAAAGAATTCTCAAGTATAGAAAAAATTCTCCCACAAAGAATTAATTCTTAGCGGAGAAAAATAAAAAATTTCTTTTATAAAAACTAAGAGGTTATGTCAAGAATAAATACCTTTTCGTTAATTCGATTTCCATTTCTGGTTTTTCCTATAAAAGAACGAAGTATCAAGACAATGGACCACTGTTTAATTTCACCTAGAAAATGCACAAAATGTTTATATATATACAGAAAGGTGATTTGAAAAAGAAAGAAGAAATTTACAAAAAGAAAGTACATTACAGTCTTTTCTTTGGCAATGATCCAAAGGCGGAGATAACGGTTGCTTTAGTGCCCGTGACAGTGGGCGTTAATGTTGTGAATGTCGTCATTGGAATTGGTAGCGTTGTTTTACTGATTGTCGTCGCGGCAGCAGCGGCGGCGGCTGCAGAAGCCGTTGCACTAGTCGCCACTTGATCCCATTTACTTTTCCGCTTCTTTGCATCCTCATCGGCAGTTGTTATCGACGAACTCGGCCGCTTAGCTAGTCCCGAAATAATCTCCATCTTTGTGCCCTTCTCCTTTCGTTTCGTCTTCAATTTCTCCATTTCAACCATTTGTACATTCGCCAATTCCTCGTAATACGAATCCTTACCCCATTTACAAGGATCAAAACGTTCCGGTGGATAGTTGGAGCCAAGTTCATCAATTTTACAGTACTGTATCAATTTCTCGTAGATTGATGGATTACGAAAGTCCTTGCGCTGTTGAATCACTTTATTCATGTCGAGACCGCCGGATTCCATTTTCTTGAAGAGGGCCGTGATCTTGTCCTGTAGATCGAGTGGACAAATGCCAATGGGCTCGGGTGGTATGACAATGCCAAATGTATCCGCATCGCCATCTGAAACCAATTCGTCTTGACGCGACGAGGGCGATTGTTGTTGATCATTTGTGAGAACGGTGGATAGCCGACCATTTTCCGTTGGCTGATTCACCGTCATCATTGATACAACTCCGCCCTCATCGTCCGAGACAACAGTGTCGTCATGATAAGAAACCAAACTATGAACACTGGAGGTCACTGTCGTTACTAAAATGGGTGCATTGATGGGTGGTCGTTTTCCAATGATGGTGGAAGTGACGACGGGACTGGGTGATGTTGTGCGACCAGAATTGGGAGATGTGATGATTGATACCTGGGGCTGACCGATTTGGGTAATGTGCGGAGCAGCCCCCCGGGGAGTATTTGACATCTCGTGGAGGTCATCTTCCAACCCATCCTCTCCCTCCGAGTCAGTATACGTGGCCGTGAGAGATGCCAGAGCAACACTTTGCACAGACATTGTTAATTGGCTTAGAGTGTCCTCTGTACTACCAAGCAATATTTTGTATGGGAACTCACCGGTCTAGCGTTGATCGGATTCTCGTCTTGCCGAGTAGGCAATAAGTCTCTCTCTCTCTCTCTCTTTCTTTCTATTTCTTTACTACCAGTGATTAATGTAATCTTAAACTCGTACTCGATATATTTATTCTATTTGGAATCTGCAAAAATTTGCTGAAAAGAAAAATTTCATTTTTTTAAATTCTCTTTAAATCGTCAAGCTGTAATTGATAGCCAGTTAGGGGTTGTTAAAAAAATACGTAATGAGTTTTTGGAGGAGGGGTGTCAAGCTATTTGATACGGTTAGCAGAAAAAATGGCGCTAATGTATACAACATGGGGGAGAGGGTGGGTCCAACTCTCCGAAAAATAGCGTAACATATTTTTTGAACGGCCCCTTTTGAAAAAGTTTATCTTTGAGAATTTTCAAATCCATTTGTTTGCATTTCAATTTTACGAAATTTCATCGATTATTCGGAAATTCTTCAATTGTATCTTAGAAAATAAAAACTTGAAAAATTTAAAAAAAAATTCAATTAACTTTTTCAAAAAAATTAATTCCAGAAAATTGTTAATTAAAAGTATGAAAAATGCAAATTTACAAAGATTTTAATTTGAAACCTTTTCAAAATTGAATTATTTATAAAAATTCACGGTAATAATGCTTTTAATATTCAATTAATAATCTAAAATTTTAACTGAAATTCATTTTTAAATCAATTTTTATTAGAAAATTCTACGAGAATTCAATTATTTAAATATAAAAATAAATAATTTATTAAATAATTGATTACATTTTAAAATTGAATTTGCATTTAAAGAATGTTATCAACATATTTTTAAATAATTGAATTATTTCGACGAATCTTAATAAAGTTCTTAAGAATAATTACATTTTTCGAGAAATTTGATTATAAAATTGTATTAAAAATAATTAAAATTCTGCGATGAGTTTTATTATTTATGAAAATAATTAAATGTTTGCCTAAAATTTTATCAAAAATTTTTTTTTAAATACCTAATTTAATTCTTTTGGAATATTTTATGAAAATTGTAAATATTAAAAATCATTGAAATGAGGGAATTTTTTGAAAATAATTGAAATTTTGCCAAGAATTTTATTAAAATTTTTGAAAATAATTGAATTTCTAAGAAGAATTTTTTATTTATAAAAATAATTCAAATTTTGGCAAGAATTTTGTTTTGAATTTTTCATGAATATTATTATTTATTAAAAATAATTGAATTTTTACCACTAATTGAGGCCTTGGATCCAATAACTCGCCCGACGCTCGGAGGAACGCGCAACTGCCAGTCAGTGAGCAGTGAGCGCCTCTGGGCCACTCACTGCAACCCGACTGGTATTAGCGCGTGCCTTCGAGCGTCGGGCGAGTTATTGGATCCAAGGCCTCAATTGTAGTTAGATTTTTAAAATTAAATAATATTAAGTTATTTAAGAATAGTATTAAGGTATTTTAATAATTGAATTCTATAGTGAAAAATTGTATTATTTGAAAATAATTAAATTCCTCTGAAGAATTTTGTTATTTATGAAAATAATTGAATTCTAAGAGAAATTTTATTAAAATTTTCGAAATTAAGGGCATTTGAACCATTATGACGTCACAGCTTAAAAACACATGCTTCTCACGAATTGTGACGTCATAATGGTTCAAATGCCTTTAATTGAAAAATTCGGATTTTTTTTGTATTTTCGATAATAATTGAATCATTCAGAGAAATTTTAATAAAATTTTATTGAAAATAATTGAATGTTTGCATAGAATTTTATCAAATTTTCTTTTTAAATAATTGAATTCTTCTGGAAAATTTTATGAAAATAATAAATATTGAAAATCATTGAATTGAGGAAAAGTTTTTTTGAAAATATTTGAAATTTCGTCAAGAATTTTATCAACATTTTTGAAAATAATTGAATTTTGGAAAAGAATTTCATTATTTATAAAGATACATAATTGAAATTTTGACGAGAATTTAAAAACCATTTTTTTCCCCTGAATTCCCTGACCCGTGGCATCCGTGTTCTTTTCAAAATTATACGTTGGTTTTAAACAAAAAAAAAAAATAAAGCCGAAACTGTCACCCACTTAAGAGCATCCTGTTAATTTCTCGAAATTTAATGTTTAAACAAAAATATTGAAATTTAATTTTAAAAATTAAGTGGGTGCTAAATTTGAAAGCTAAGACTGACATCCAAAATTAACAGCATCGAGGTAAATTTTTGAAAATTTCATGTTGGTTTTTTGCAAATTAAATTTCAAAGTTATATATTTTTGTCGTGTTCGTTTTCAACCTCGCATTCAAATTCCACTGACACAAATAATTCACTAATATTATTAATCATCAAGATATAAGCATAATTATTTCCAGTGAAAATTAACAAAAGAACTTCAAATTTTAAATCGCATCGAGTAAAAAATTAAATTAAAAAGCAAATTAAAAATAAAATTAAAGTAAATTGAAAATAAAATAAACTAAATTAAAAATAAATTGAAAGTAAAATAAAAAATAAATAAAAAATAAAATGAAAATAAAGTAAATAATAAGTACATAAAATTAAAAGTAAAATACATTAAAACCTAAATTAAAAATAAAAATAATAATAATAAAAAAAATTGAAATTGCAAATCAGATTTGTAAATAGCGATCACAGAATTGAAAAAATTTAAATACATAAATCAGATTTTATTTCTAAAAATACAAAAAAAAATTAAACAAAGAAATAAATCCAAATTTTGACAGAAATATTATAGTCACGAGAATTCTGTCACTAAACAAATTGGAAATTATAACAAAACTCTTGAAAATCAACAAAAAAGAAAAGCAAAAAATGAAAAAAACAAAAAGTAAAAAAAAACTTTTTCCAAACCAAATATCCTTTTGCATTCTTTTTGAATTCCTCTCCAAACCTATTTTTCTCGCTTGAAATTATTGATTGGCCTTGATAGTAAAAATACAACAAGCTTTATGCATTTTCAAACTTTTCATATTTCTAAAATTCCCACAAACATTTTTCTACCAAAAACCCGAACAATTTACACCCAACAGTATTATATTCACTATTATTAATTTACCAAAGCGGAATATATTTCATTATTCGAACAATTTTTTGTTAATAAAGAAAAAAAATGCTTTACCGAATGTTTTCGTTTGTCGTGTGATGCGAAAGTTTTTTACTAATGAGAAATTGAAAAAATTAACTATAATAAATGTAGGGAATGAATAATTGGGTAAATAGACATATTTTATTAAAATTCAGGGGACAAAATGTGTAAATAGATAAGTAAAATTAGTAATTATTCCCGAGGCCAAAAACTGACAAGTTAGGTTATGTTTGGTGAAAAAGTGTAAAGTTTGCGAGATGAAAACGAACACTGGGTGGGAAAAGTTTGGTTGATTTTCATGAAAATATTTCACTTTGATGGACAATGAATGTTTGAATATTGAGTACTTACAAAATAAGGAAGAAATTTCAGAATATTATAATCCTTAGCAACACGTATTGATGAACCAATTTCCTCCTGAAATATTCAGAGAAACAGACACGAACTTGATAACACGAGACGGGAGAACAAAGTGAACAAATTGACGAGTGAACGGTTGACTTCAGGGTGCGGTCAGTGGCACTCAAGATGGCGCGACAATTTCAGTTACCGACCGTGGGAAAAGTAGTATTGGTAAATTACTGGACAAGTTTAAAGATCGCTTAAAAAATTACTACCTACTAGTATTTTTGAACTACTACTACTACTATTGACAGTTCCTAGCGTTTATATTTTATTCTTATTGTTTATATTTGATAATATAACTGTTTTTCCCGTTTCTATTTCGTCACCTTCGTGACAATTTTCCGAGATGCGCCTGCACTTATGCAACCCACGGTGCGCCTTAACTAAAATTAAATAAAAAGGTCTTACACCTAGAAAATTAGTAGATATTCTGAATTTACAATGTTCATAGATGGTAAAAATCAAAAAACTAAAATAATCTGTGGAGAGATTTTGAAATAAATCCACTTTGAACATTTTTGCTCACGAAGTACGATATTTTGGAAAATATGGCATTGTTTATTTATATGAATAGAAAGGAAAAAATGATATAATAATAATTTTTAAGTGGTAATTCTTTTAAACTTTTATTATTTTAATACTTTACTACTAATAAAATATAAAAATATAACATAATTTAATTATAATTACATCAATTTAAACATGTGAAGCATTATATTATTATTATATTATATTATTTTTATCGCAAAATTAATCATTTTCAAATAATTAATTTCCATAAACTCTCGTTCGGTTGTATTTCAACTTATACTTATAATATACTTCAACTTATAATATTTTTATTTATTTAAATATTTATTTATATCAAATATGCAATTATTTTAATTTACTTCCTATAAATCTGAATTAATAGTTTACTACTAATGAAATAATGCGAATTCGTTTACCAATTGAATTAGTAACTCTTTTTACCAGGGCCGGATTTATGTATAAGCAAAATAAGCAGTTGCTTAGGGCCCCGGCTTGCCGAGGGCCCCCAAATTTTTCCAAGATTATATTTTTTTAAAATTAAAAAAATTTAATTTTTAAATTTTGCAGTGGTGCTAAAGAAAATGTAAAAAAATGTTCTTTAAATTTATTATATAAAAATTAAATTTCTTTCATAAAAGTAAAAGAATGTTTATAAATATATTATTTTATAACGAAATTGAAATACATATACAGTGCCGCTCAATAACTTTTGCCCACCCTACAGCGTTTAACACTTTACAGAAAGTTTTATATTTTGTTTATTATTAAAGATAAAAAGCTCAAAAAAGGTCTCTTTTTAAAGCTCTTTTCCTGAGCTTTAACACTGTATAAAACAAAAATTAAAAAAAATAATTTGTTAATATTTAAAAAAAGGTTATTGCAACATAAAATTTTTTATTTTTTTTGGTTTTTTTAAAGCGATACAGTTATTTAGAAAATCATCGCATGTAAATCACACTTATATCATTTTAAAGCTAGTTTTATCACCTTTAAAACGCATTTTTTAAAATTTATTTTTGATAATTTTTAAGAATAATATAATCATTTGTTTAAATAATTAGCCATTTTTTTCAATTGTTGATAACTCAAAAACGGTTCGTTAAAAAAAAATTTTTTAAGAACATAAATTGTTCATTTTTTTATGTAGAATCAGAAAAAAATATACAAAATTTTTTTAACATATTTTTTGAAAAAAAAAATTTTGAATTTCTTATATTTTTAAGTTTTAATCATAGAAATTCGCAACTTTTACTTACCACAACAAACAAATAAATTTATTGTCGTATTCATGTAATTATTTTCAATAATTTTAACTCAGCAATCATTTAAATCACTTTTGATAATATAATTAAGTTTTTTGTTTGTAAACTGATCAAAAGTTTTTTAACTAATTGCTTAGTTGCAATTAATTACATAAATACGACAATAAATTTATTTGTTTGTTATGGTGAGTAAAAGTTGCGAACTTCAATGATTAATACTTAAAAATATAAAAAATCAAAAAAATTATTTTTCAAAAAATATGTTAAAAAAATTTTTTTTTTTAAAATTTTGTATATTTTTTTTCTGATTCTACATGAAAAAATGAACAATTTATGCTTTGAAAAAATTTTTTTTAAACGAACCGTTTTTGAGTTATGAACAATTGAAAAACAAGTTGTTCATTTCATGACCATTTAGCTTCCTCAATATATAAAAATTGCGGTTTTGCAAACTTTTGAAAAACTATGTACAAAAGGGTTCGTTCAGAAGATTTGTTAAAAATAAAATTATATAAATCATTTATAAGTTGTTATATAAATATTTGGTGAAATTTACACTTTCATTTGCCAATTGCTTCTTTTTTATGATACAATAATCATTTCAAAATATTAATATTATTAATATGAAAAAAATAATGAAAAAATTATACAAAATTTGAATTTTTTGTGAAAAAGAAAAATATTTATTAATTTTATAAATTTTGATAAAATATTTACTTTGTATACATCAATCGATTCGTTTTCTTGTCAGAAATGTAATTTTGAGAATAATTAATGAAAATATTAACAAATAAAAAAATTATTTCAAAAAATACAAAAAAAAATTTTTCTGAATTTAAAAAAAATTGTATAAAAAAATTTTTTGTAGATATTTTCGAAACTTTTTGTGTCAGATTTTAGGTATTACACTGAGAGAAATGGATAGTCAGATTTTGATGTTAAAAAGATGATGTTACACGATACTATCATTATGCTACTCCCAACCATCCCAGATGCTAAAAAAAATATAGTTATGCTACCCCGTACTACCAAGATGTTACTCCTGATGATATTGATGGTAACGGTGACTATCTAGATAGCTGTCTGTATACGTAGCATTAAAGATGGTCACCCTAACCACAATTATGTTACCCACTACACTGGAGCTTCACTTATTTTCAGTCTCACTTATTTTCAGTCTCACTTATTTTCACCATTTCCAGTCTCACTTATTTTCAGTTAAATGGTTCTCCGTGCGTTCTCATTGGTTGATGTTAAAGAATCCACCAATCAAATCAACTCGAATGTTACGTTTCAGAGTGAAAATAAGTGCGACTTTGCCTTTCAGTTTGTTTGGACTTAGTGAAAATAAGTGAAGCTCCAGTGTACTATAAATTTCTCTCCGTGTAATGACTGCAATAAACCTGCAAAATGTCAGGACAATCCATCAAAATTTGTCTGAGATAATTTGTACACAATTTTTGTGCCATACACACACACATACATCTGGACATTTGCTCATAATTGAATATACATATGTTCTAGATTTATATGCGATGATTTTCTAAACAACTGTATCGCTTTAAAACAACCAAAAAAATTGAAAAATTTTATGTTGCAATAATATTTTTTAAACATTAACAAATTAATTTTTTTAAATTTTGTTTTATACAGTGTTAAAGCTTAGGAAAAGAGCTTTAAAAAGAGACCTTTTTGAGCTTTTTATCTATAATAATAAACAAAATACAAAACTTTTTGTAAAGTGTTTAATCGCTGTAGGGTGGGCAAAAGTTATTGAGCACTGTATATATTAAACACTTATTTAAGTTGTCACATTTTTTATCTCAAATTTTATAAGGGCTTAGTGCTGAGGGCCCCTTTTTTGGTAATTCCTGCCTAATGCTTAGGGCCCCCGAAGGTGTAAATCCGGCCCTGCTTTTTACTAATTTTTAGTAATTTTTTACTAATTTCTAGTGGAAAATTACTAATTTAATTAGTAGAACGTATTTTTTACTATTTAAAATTAGTAAATTTTCTACTAATAATTAATAAAAACTACTAAAAAATAGTAAAAACAGTTACTAATTCAATTGGTAAATGAATTCGCACTATTTCACTAGTAGAAAACTACTAATTCAGATTCAGAGAGTAAATTAAAATAATTAATTATAAAAAATAATTGCATACACGGAGAGAAGAGTTATAGTGAGTTGTACTATTACGCATTTAGTAAGAAAATTTGAGTTGTGACAAATAAATATTAAGTAAAGGTTACAAAACAGCGTTCAATTTTTTTTTGTCGATCAAACTAAACATAGTAGTAAGTGAATGTCTGCTTAGTAAAACAGACAAAACTAATTCTGTTTACATTTTTAATCATATTATTAATTGAACTTTAAAAAAATATTAAAATTAATTAAAAAGCTACCTATTAAAAATTAAACGAAATCGAGAAAAAATATTATTTTTCAAAACTTTATTTGCAGTGTTATACTTATTATTTATGCTTGTTATTACAACAAATATTAGGTTATTGTTATCATAATAATTATAAAAAAAAGTTTAGCTGTTTATTTAAATATGCGACAAATATATTTTGTAAAGAAATATAGCTCTTATAATTTTCTCTATTTAACTAAACAATTACAGAAATTATAATTTTTAAATTGATTTATTATTGTTACCTTATATCACCGTCAGTGTATTTTTGTAAAATATTACTTGATTTTCTTCTCGTTCCCCATATATAATAAATTTTTGAAAAAATAATTAATTAATAATTATTATTTCTAAATAATTAATTATTTATAAAGTGTTAACTATTATATTAATTATTATATAAGAGGTTAAATTTTATTTTGGTAAATTGTAAACAGAATTGCAGATATGACAATTTATATTGTAGACATACTAATGAAGTTAGTAGTCTTAATAACTAAACGGCCGTTTAGTGAAGTTTACTTTTTGTTTTCTTAAACGAAAAAGTCACCATATTGTTTAGTAACTATGACTCAGGGCTGAGTAAGATTGACTACTTTCTTCTCTCCGTGTATTTGATATAAATAAATAAAAACAAGTATGTTGAATTACAACCGAACTAGGGTTTATAGAAATTAATTATTTGAAAATGTAAAGTCTTCCTGGGAAATGAATAAGGTTCCTGCGAATCACCCAGATTATCCTAAATACCTTTTGAGCGCTGTTTGTAGATAAAATGCTTCACATGTTTCAAAATCTCTCCACAGATTATTTTAGTTTTTTGATTTTTCCCATCTATGAACATTGTAAATTCAGAATATCTACTAA